ATTATATTGGTCAATGCCAATAGCAACTCTTTAACTATCAGGGATTCGCAATTTTTTCATGCGAAATGGTAAAGGGGGATCAGCTAAAAAAAGACACCAGATTTGAGGATGTGAGAGAGAGAGAGAGAGAGAGGGAGAGGAGGGAAGAAAGAAAGAGGGAGACACGTCGTCAGTACGAAGCTGCACGTCTTGCATAGCGTCGTGAATTAGAGAAGCATAGCAGAGAGGTGACGTGCTAACATGTCAGAATTGAGAGAGCAAAAGCGATGATCACTGGCCAACCAAATTCAATCCAACGGTGCAATTTAGTTTGACCAGAGGACAGATACCGCCCAGGGTGAGTGGCCTGCCATGTTTGTAATTTGGTTATTTTATTGAATCCAATGCACGGATTAAATAGAGAGCTTAGAGAACCGCTTCCAGGATCCAGCGCAGTCTATGCCCAATGCCACGCTCCACATTTCCTTTTTCTTGAAATTTGACTCTCACATTCATGCTCCTAGCTTTCCGATCCTCCTGTCCAATGTCTCTCCCTCGTTCCCTCCTCTTGATTGTATGGCTTCTTCTTGCTTTCAGCAGTACTTCCCGAGCTCAAGTTGAACGTGGCGATGATTTGGCCGGCATCAAATTGGATCCAAGCCTCAAGTTCGAGAACGGGAGGCTCAGGAAAGCCTACATTGCCCTGCAAGCATGGAAACTGGCCATCTTGTCCGACCCATTCAACTTCACCGCCAACTGGCACGGCCCCGATGTCTGCTCCTACAAGGGTATCTTCTGCGCTCCCTCTCCATCTAATTCTTCCCTCCGAGTGGTAGCCGGCATCGATCTTAACCATGCCGACATCGCTGGATACTTGCCTCCGGAGCTTGGCCAGTTGAAATATCTTGCTCTATTCCACCTCAACTCCAACCGCTTCTGCGGTAGCGTGCCCTCCACCTTCCGCCACATGAAGCTGCTGCGAGAGCTTGACCTCAGCAACAACCGCTTCGTCGGCAAGTTCCCAGAGGTGGTTCTGAGGTTGCCGTCCCTCAAGTACTTGGATCTCCGATACAATGAGTTTGAGGGCGCCGTGCCCTCCAAGCTCTTTGACAAAGATCTGGACGCCATCTTCCTCAATGACAACAGGTTCAGATTCGGCATCCCACAGAACCTGGGCAAGTCGCCAGTGTCGGTGCTTGTGTTGGCGAACAACGACCTTGGGGGATGCATTCCCAGTAGCATTGGGGAGATGGGCAAGACCCTGAACGAGATCATCCTGCTAAATGACAACCTCACGGGGTGCCTTCCTCCACGGGTGGGATTGCTCAAGCAACTCACCGTCTTCGACGTGAGCTTCAACCGCCTCCAAGGACCACTCCCCTCTGGCACTGGGGCTATGAAGAAGCTGGAGCAGCTCAATGTCGCCCACAATGGCTTCACTGGGATCATTCCAAGCAGCGTGTGCCGGCTGCCCATGCTGCAAAACTTCACCTACTCTTTCAACTATTTCACTGGGGAAGCCCCAACTTGTTCTAATGCTCAAATTAGAACACTAGATGGACGTCAAAATTGCATTCCTAGAAAGCCAGACCAGAGATCTTCAAGAGAGTGCTCCTCTGCAGCTGCAAGCCCAGTGAAGTGCAGCCAGCTGAAATGCTCTGATCGATCCGCTTCATCTCCAGAGTCGAGAATTAGAAGTCCTCCCCTACCGCCACCTGCTCGATCCCGCTCGCCTCGCTCTTTCATTGGCCCTTCACCCCCACCACCATCCTCAAAGTCTTCTCCTTCCACGAGATCCCACCAGCCTCCACCACCCCCCACAGAGAAAGTTTCAGCTGTTACCCGTCTTCCCCCACCACCACCGTTGCCACTCATTGTTCCTTCAAGTCCACCTCATGCTCAGGCTCAGGTTCCACCATCCTTCACACCACTGCCTCCACCTCCAGCAGAAAAGGTGTCACCGAACGAACATCTTGTGCCGCCCCCACCCACATCAGAGTATGCACCTCCTGAAGAGTACTCTCCTCCTCCTCCTCCTCCTCCTCCTCCCCCTCCTCCCTACAAGCACTTAACAACTCCCCCGCCTAGCACACCTCTCCTTGCCCCCTCGCCAATTCGTGTTCCTTATCCCCCACCCCCACCCCCCACAAAACAATACTCCACCACCCCCCACACAACACCAGTACGCAACGCCACTGCCGCCACCGCCGCCGCAGCACGAGTATTCAACAGCACCCCTGCCTCCACCTTCACCAAGACAACATGAGCATTTGACACCGCCACCACTTGCTGCAGCAGCTCCTCCGCCCAAACCGTCAGAGCAAGATACTCCATCTCCTTCATCTGGTTGCATCGATATTCCAGGATCAATGCCCCCTGCACAATCACCTAGCCCTGCGGCTGTTGCACCATCAGCAACCTTCACACCATCGCCTCCACCTCCAGCAGAAAAGGTTTCACCCAGCAAACATCCTGTGCCGCCTCCACCAACATCAGAGTATGCACCTCCTGAAGAGTTCTCTCCTCCTCCTCCTCCTCCACCCTACAAGGACTTAACGACTCCCCCTCCTAACACACCTCTCCTTGCCCCCTCGCCAATTATTGTTGCTTATCCCCCACCACCACCCCCCACAAAACACCAATACTCAACACCGCCACCACCGCCGCCGCCACCACCACCCACACAACACCAGTACTCAACGCTGCTGCCGCCGCCGCTTCCGCAGCACGAGTATTCAACAGCACCCGTGCCTCCACCCTCACCAAGAAAACATGAGCATTCGGCACCACCACCACTTGCTGCATCAGTTCCTCCGTCCAAACTGTCAGAGCAAGATGCTCCATCTCCTTCCTCTAGTTGCATCGATATTCCAGGATTAATGCCCCCTGTACAATCACGTAGCCCCATGGCTGCTGCACCGTCAGCAACCCCTACAGATCATTACTATGCACCTCCAAGTCAGACTCAGCAAGGCCAAGCTCCTCCACCCCCCACGCCCTCATTTGACCTCAGTGCACCTCTTGCACCAATCCGAGGAGTTTCATATGCATCTCCCCCACCGCCTATGATCCCTTACTACTGATCCCAAAGAGTCATTGTCCTCTTGCTATTATAGACAGTAGTCAGTGAGGGAACCATCCGGGCTGAAGGACTTCTTGTATTTAATTAATTGATTTACTTTTTATATCTCTTATTATTCTATCCAAGACATTTCTATGTGTGTTGTTTTGGCTGCTGACTGTTGCCCTATTTTCCCTGTATTTCTTCTCTGCTTAGTTCTCACGGCTCAAGGTACACTTGCGTTCGGCAAATTGGCAGTGGATGAGTTATGCAGCTTGGCTAGAAATTGTTTCAGATTCAATAGAGTATAGGGTTTATTGAGCACGGGAACTGGACCGAACCGGACCAAATCGGCCGGTTCTGGACGGTTCCCGGTTCCTAAAATTTGAAACCAGTGATAATCAGTCTAGTTGCCAGTTTCAAGTATGGAAATAGTTCTTTTTTTCTTTTTATTGCCAAAAGACTGGAGAGAGAACAAAAACAAAGTTCGTAGACACACTTGCACTCTTCAAAAGTGTTCCATTCCCCGCAAGAGTTTAAAAGTAACGTTCTCTTCAATCTCTTGTCCAGCTCCAATGTTTTAGTCCCTGCCAAGGAATTGGAAAAAAAAAAAAATGACGCCGGCTCCTGAACCCATCCGGGGTCTGGTCCGGTTCTGAGTCTAGGTGGCCCTGTTCCCAGTTCCACAACTGGAAACCGACCCTTCTAGTCCACTTCTTGATTTTAAGGTGAGAACCAGCCCAGCTTGAAACACATCACGCCTAATAGAGTATGGAATATGTCGAGTTAACCAGTGTTTCACAAATCTTTTAATTTGTTGTCGGGCTAAAGTAATATAATATGTTGACTTAACCAGTCTTTCACAAATCACAGTAAAAGTTCATGAAATCAATTTAATTTCTGTCATAAGAAATTTAGAGAAAGAAATGTGGGTGATTTAAAATACTGGGGAAAATAAAATATGAGATGACTACTGTACTATAAAAAAAAAAGAGGAAAAAGGCATAAAAAATTTCAAAATATGCCCACTATGATATATTTTCTTAATTTTTTTTGTGACACTAAAAATCCCAAACTTATATATATGTGACATATTTATCTTCCGTCAAAGTTTCGCAAATACACGCCATTAAAAATCTGCTTATATGGACAATGGAAATTAAATAGTGTTAATGTGACGCCCACGTGCTTTAAGTGAAATAAAAACACTATCGTTTTAGTTGGAAAATCATATGACGGAATCCTGACAAAGGCTAAATATGTCGGACGACTACAAGTTTGGGATTTTTATGTCACAAGAAAATATTTAGGATAAATGTGTCACAGTTGATATAATTTGAGATTTAAAAAATTCAAGGTAAAGAAGACATAATTTAGGGATTTTTGACAGCTTTTTCCAAAAGAAATCCATACCACGATACCCCTTATCTTGAAATAACCTCTAAATCTGAAGGAGTACCTAAATAAACTCAAGATGAATCCAAATAACGCCATTATAACCCCAAAACCATCAATAACAGCTCAACACCCAAACAATCCAAAAAATCAATTCCGAAATCATCTATTTCAACCGTTAAAGGGAATCAAGTCGCTGAGTCATCTTACCAAGAGTTTAACCCCCACAAGACATCCCACGAGAAATCTTAATACATATCACCACTAATCAACCACAATCTTGGCATACCACAAAACAGCTCTCTTGATTATAAAAAGTGCAATCGAATCCTAAAATTTATCAAATCAATTCATTCGAGCCTTTTCGTTAATTCCGTCCAATTTAACTAACAGAAAATACTGACGTAACCTTTTTTATTATTTTTTCTGTCGTCAGTGGGGATGACGTGATTTTTTTAATTTTTTCATATAAATTTTATTTAAATTAAATTTTAAAAATAAGCTTAAAACTTCTCCTCCTTTAATTTTTTTGGTAATATTTAGCCTTTTTTTTTTAAATACTTCGCTTGCTTCCCCTCAGGTGGAATATGAGGGCAGCGGGGCGGACAAAGCCAGACCTGCATAAATCCCCACGGTTTGACCAGAGCGAATATCAGGAAATTGCTGATTGATTCGGGGGAAAAGATGCCTCTGAAGAAAGAACTGTGCAGGAATTTTCAGCGCGGAAGGTTTGTTACTTTACCGATCGATCCATCGATTGATTCATTGATGATTTTTGTCACTCGGTTGTGTTGACTGTTCGGTTGAGTTGAGTTGAGTTGAGCACCATGTCTCTCTCTCTCTCTCTCTCTCTCTCTCTCTCTCTCTCTCTCTCGGGTTCTATCTCCTTGACAACGGAATGTCAATGTACGCAGTAGCATCAAAAACTTTATCGCTTCTCCGTACTTCGATTTAAGATGGTTTTCCAGGCAAGTGTCGTAGCATGAAGAACTAATCGATTTATGATTTAGATTGAGTTGGACGTACCTTCTCTTCATCTCTGATGTCAATTTGGATTCTTGCAGCTGTCAGTATGGTGAAAGGTGTAAATTTCTCCATCCAACTCAGCAGCAGTCCCGGCCTAATGCCTTTGGATTTGGCATGCATAGTGGCTCAAACCAACAGCAGAAGGCCAATCCTTTTGGATTTGGTGTTCAGAGTAGCTCTCAGCCAAGACCAGCTGCTGATTTTGCGTCGCAGCATAACCAGTTCAAGGTCCTTTCCCTTTGTATGATTGAAAATTGAGTTGGTTGTGATATCTCTGGCCAGTTAACGATGAAGATTTCATTTATATTACAAGTGGTGATAATTTCACCCCGCTATGCTGACAAATTTGGTTTCGTGATTCTGGTATCATTCTGACATCTATCTCGTATCTGGATCAGCCTTTCGAAAATAAGTGGACTCGCTTCTCTCCTATTTCTAATGCTTCGGCCACTTCATCTCATCACCCTGATAATCAAATTCAATCGGGAAATCACAAGTAAGTGCTTTGCTAATCATACTCCCTCCAAGTAGCTTGACAACTACGTCCAACTTTTTCCTGATTTGAGAAGTCGTGCCTAATTATGTATTCCTTGTTGAAAAGATGCACAGATCCGGAGTCCTGCAAACAATTAATTGTTGAAGATTTTGAGCATGAAAGACCGTCATGGACGCTCACATGTTATGGTCATTGCAAATAGTATGTTTATCTGTAACACCCTCAGATAAATTCTAATATACGCTTATTTTATCTACAAATATATGTGTGTGCTGCGTGAGCTTGCGCTTAATGCAGAATAGCGGTGTCTTGGCTGATTTAGTTTTGGTGTCATCGAGTCCTAATTTTCACAATTTCAATCATGGTTGGCAATTTTGCTGTCAAGAAGTGGCTTCAAGTGTCAATACTATGTGCTTTAAGCTGGCGAGAGCAAGGTGAAGTTTCTGTCTATACGGGATCACATCTTTGTCAAAGAGTTTCATTCTAGCACAACAGGGTAGTGTGCTAGGGAGTGGTAAAGCTAGATTAATGGGATCTATGCAATTTTGTGAAGAAAGAGTCTGAATGATGCAGTGTTAAGTATGCCTGGAAGTACTAAGCAGCGAGTGATTGCAGGCTTCCAGCATCATAGATCCATTTCGTAAAGAGATGGAAATATTAATTGATTATGTCCCCCCCATGGTACAAGCGGGAGGGATGTTAATGAAGCCTATGACTAGCACAACTTAGGACAGTTCCAAAGCTCAAGGGTCGTTCTTTTGAACTGTCATGGTATGATTTATACCTAGTATTGCTTGTGTTAAGTACCACAGAGTGCAGGCAGTCGAGGTTATCAACATGCATGTACTCAGGAAAAGAAAAAGAGAAAAAGCTTCGCTGGAATAATATATGTTTGAGAAAACTTTTTTATGGCTAATTGAGAATAAGATAAGAGAAAAGTTGTTTAAGGTGGTTTAGGTATCCAATAAGAAGATGCATTGTCTAGAGATGCAGTGTCCGGTTCTATCATCTGATGATATCACATTAGCGACAGGTCAATATCCACGTATGCATTAAATGTCTAGGTTGACAAACGGGTAACGGTAGGGTAGGATTCTACACACATTTATAAGATAAAAGTAGGATTCCACACACTTTTAAGCATTAAAAGTATATTGCATGTATGTATTTTTGTTGGAAGGAAAATTGGAAAAAGCATCTAGAGTCAAGGTTATCCGGTTAATGGCCAAATTAAAGATGTAATCTTGAGATCAAAAGCTATTTATTTTCATTTACTTTGATTTCTGCATATTGCAAGCAATGTGGCTGCTCTTATGGACTTGCTTTGTGGAATGTAATCTGGTGAACAGACGTGTTAATGCATAAAATTCAAAAGGACAGTTGCTTTAATTCACAGTTCTGGATAATTGTTACCTGCAGTGCTCCATGCGATATTAGTGGCGACATTAGCTATGAAGAATTGCAGTCTGCAGCATATGATGATGCTAAGCGCGGGTTGAGCTTGCAGTCAATTGTAAGAAGTTAACTGCCTCGTTTTATCATTGTACTACAGAATTTTAGTGTTTCATAGCCTAAATCACAGGCTGAATGTTTGTGATTAGGTAAATATGTGTTAGTAATTTTTGAAACTGCATTAGTGGAAATGAGGTGACCAACATGCTGTTTGGCCTATTACTTGTTAGTAAGGTACCAATAGACTTATGAAGTAACCAGTGTCAAGTTCATGAGTAGGTTATCAACTATTAAATTTTCTTAGTGACCAATCAATATTTCACTAGTCAAATTCAGTGACTTATTTGTATAAACAGATAACCTTCAAAAGAGACGAAAAGTGTTGGTAAATAGATTTCTTTTGTCAGAATAGTGGAAAGAGTGGCCCATCGTCTGCTGTTAGATTATAGATGAGTCAGACAGATTTGGACTACAGTTTGCACACTTTTAGGAGTGAAGTGGTTGCAGTGAGAACAGTACAAGAGGAACTTATTGATGGTCAAGGAAGAAGAAAATTGTCAAGATGATTACTGTCCTCGTTGTTAGGCTCATTTCAGCAGAAAACAACATGAGAGCTTTTCAAGAAGAAGTATTGTCTTGGGATTCTTTCAGCTTTAAGTCAGTTATGTGGCAATTATAAAATTAGTCTTTTGTTCTTAAGTTTTGGCTTCCCATCTGACTTTATTTTGTATAGTGCCGGTACCCACTTAATACCTTTATTAATCAAATTTTGCTTTACCTTCAAAATAAGATCATTTATTTATTATGAATGGCAACCACTGAACGCTACACAGCACAACTATTTATCTTTCTGATACTGTCTTTGCATCAGTAATAGTGTTACGAGGACCAGAAAAGCTACTTTTCCAAATTTAATAATACAATGTTGTGGTATTTAAATTTTAACAATATATGCAACCTTTTACTATGTTGCAGATATTGAAGTAAGTATCTAATTAGGTTGCTTAAAATGTATCCTTGTTGTGAACTCATTTCTTTCTTGCTTTCTGTTCTTGTGTATTCTTGATGTCCTGAAGCAGTTCTCTTTCTCATAAACTTCGCTTTTACTTATGCAAATAAAGAGATATAATTATGATCAATTTGAGGTCATTAGTCTTTAACATTGAAGAATTGAAAATTTGGTTGCTGGCATGGGCGAAAGGCAAAATTAAACATTTGAAGGCATCTCTTTGTGAAGGAAATGCTGTGATAGCTATGTATGATAGCTTCGTGGTTGGCCAATTGATATGACTGCTCTCCGCGTTTACTGAAATTCGGTGGTTATAACTTTAATAGTACATATATGTATTCTTGTGTGTGTGTATTGTAATGTATTTCTACTTTCTATGGTATTTGTTAGAGCATGACCTTTTTCCAATTCCAACAAGGATGAATTTGCCTTTCGAAGTGCTGAATTTTTGTTTAAATTTTCTCAGTAGATGTTTGATGGATGAACCTAACTTTTGACTTTTCAATTTCAAAAGGTGGCCGCTTTCTGCTTTTCCCCCCCTTCATTGCCATCCAAAGAAATGAAGCTTGCTTTCTTTGAGTGAATCATTTTGTTGGAAGGATACACAATGTTCTATTAAAAATTATGAACAAAAGACTGTTTTTTTTATCATTTCCGGAAGCTATAAGAATGAGATTAAAATTTCCCCCTACATTTATAGTGCAGAGTGTATGAAATTGAATCTCAGTAGGTAATCATGAAATTGCTAAAGCAGTAGATTCAATTGACAAGCTAAGCTAGCACTGATGCTAGAAGCTGTTACAGTTTCTTGTAGATGGGTGAGATGGTGTTGCCGTGGTGGGAAGCAAGTATTGCTATTTTACCTTAAAATTTAAGATGTGCTATTTTCATTTACATATATCTTTATGCCTGGGATAGAACGGCGATTATGGGAAGTTGCAGACATTACTTGCGAGCGTGTCCATCTGCTGGACACAGTTAACCTGTTGGGACTTTGAGGGTTCGATTTTAATTTATTAATTTATTTTTTAGTGGCAAGAGAAATAAGTAAACAGAAGTATCTATTCTGTTCAATACTTCTGAAGCCTACGTATAAATAAATTTAAACTTCACAGAGGCTCTGGAAGACTTGCCAAACTACTCAACTTTGATGACTTGCTGTGTGGACTGACTTGACAAAAGCAGCTACTTGGCATCCATGACCTTTTTCAAGCTACAACCTCTGACTTAACTAACTTGCACATGCTTTAAGAAATGGATTATGACATTCACGAGAGGGCTGAAACTGGAGTGCTGCTGTGGCTTTGTTCAATTTGTCAATTTTGAGGGTGTAAAAGAAAACCATCATAAGAAATTTACTGATTTGTTCTAGAAATAGGCTATTTCCATTCCATTGCAGCCATGACTGAGCAAATCTCTCTCTACAGGTTGAGAGGGAGAGGAATGCACTTAACTTCAAATTGACTGAGTTTGAGAATTTGCTCCGCGGCCCATACGTGGCTCCACTGTCCTCGACTGCTAGCCAAAGTGCACGCCTTGGTTTTGGGGCAAATACATCCTCATTATCAGCTCAAAATACTGGCCAATCTGTGGCCTCAAGTTTTGGTGTGCTCCATGCATCATCTAATGCTGGGGGATCAAGGCAAGAATCTTCCTGCTCCACTTTGTTAGGTAGTCATGGGAGGCAATATCTGAATTCCTCTTTAAAGTATTGAATTAATATTAGTTGCAAAAAGATGAGTGGATTATACTAGTTCTTTTAAATCCTGTGTCAATGCTCGTCTTGAGTTCTTGTACTGACCTTGTTGCTCCCCTTCCAGTCCCTATGTGCCTTCAAACACTGCTTCGGGGAGTCTAAGTTCTTCAACTTTGCAGCAGACTGCAAGTGCATTTGGACCAAGTTATTTGCCCTCTGGAGGTGCAGGTTCGTTTATGAGAAATTATTCTTCTATGTTCCTAACGCAGATAGAGAATTGGTTTTTTCTTCTGTGATTTGTTGTGTCAAACAATGGCAACTCATTTCAAATCAAAGCCTGAGTAATCTGGGGTCGAGTCAGTTCTTGATTGTAGTTGGTCCCGGAGATAATAAGATGTATGTTGTCCTCAGATCTTGAGCATCGAGGGGCATTTGGTGATACTTCACTTTAAAGGTTTTCTAGATTTTTAAGAATCTTAGATGACACTTTGAGGACTTGAAGGTGACGCAATATTCGATTATTTAGTAATTTCATTGGAATTTGTAATTCCATCTAGAAAAATATGACTTGGCAAAATTGAACCCTTGAAAGGAATTCTGTGGGCTTGCTAAGCTTATTCTATCTGCAAATCCAGGGCCATCTATCTCTCTCTCTCTCTCTCTTCCATCGATAAAAATATGACTTAGCAAAATTGATCCCTTGAAAGGAATTCTGTGAGCATGCTATGCTTATTCTATCTGCAAATCTAGGCCGTGTCTTCTCTCTCTCTCTCTCTCTCTTCCATTGAGAAAAATACGACTTGGCAAAATTGATCCCTTGAAAGGAATTCTGTGGGCATGCTAAGCTTATTCTATCTGCAAATCTAGGCTGTCTTCTCTCTCTCTCTCTCTCTTCCATCGAGAAAAATATGACTTGGCAAAATTGATGCCTTGAAAGGAATTCTGTGGGCATGCTAAGCTTATTCTATCTGCAAATCTAAGCCATGTCTTCTCTCTCTCTCTCTCTCTCTCTCTCTCTCTCTCTCTCTCTCTCTCTCTCTCTCTCTCTCTCTCTCTCTCTCTCTCTCATCGAGAAAAATATGACTTGGCAAAATTGATCCCTTGAAAGGAATTCTGTGAGCATGCTAAGCTTATTCTATCTGCAAATCTAGGCCGTGTCTTCTCTCTCTCTCTTCCATCGGGGAAAAATATGACTTGGCAAAATTGATTCCTTGAAAGGAATTCTGTGGGCATGCTAAGCTTATTCTATCTGCAAATCTAGGCTGTGTCTTCTCTCTCTCTCTCTCTCCGAGACTGTGCATTGTAGATCTGTTGACATTCTCAGATTTGGGGAATTTTGTCAAGGTTGTGCTGTTTATCTAGCCAGTGAAGCATAGAACCTACCATTGTTAGCTTGTCACTCTTCTTAAGGCATAATCACCAGCCTAAAGAGACACTACCGATCAAATTTGCTTTCCAGCTCTCTAGCAATTCTTTGCGTAAGATAAAATCTGTAAAGCAAGGTCAATAAAGATGTCCTTCAGCACGATCAATTAGTTCCATCATCCTGAGATATCAGAGATTCAGAAGCAATTCCTCTGGTGATCAACCTAGTCATGATCAGTCTAGTCGGGCCCTCCCAATTTGGTCTGTGCAAGAAAATTGGATTCTGATCAAGGTCCTTTCTTTGAATTATTCAATATTTGATGTGTAGAAGCTTGTTTTAGTCAAAACTATCTTATCATCACTCTGCTGCAGAATCAGCTCTTATAGTTCACAGAATCACTTGAATTCTTAGCCACTTTCTTCCCAACCCACACACCCTTCCAGCCGAGAAAAAAAGATAGTTGGATCTCTGATACCTCCTCGTGAACATCTTCCAAATAGCCTTTGTAATAAAGAACTGGCTAATCTAACTCGCATGTGATCTAGTTATTCGTATAATGAACTTGCATGAATTAGTAGCATTGCATAGGTTTGAATTTTTGCCATAGTCCAGCCAACTTGAACATTTTATGGAAGTTATTATCAGAATATGTAGCTTTAACTATAGTGGCTGTTTATTGCTGGAACTAACTCCTTGTGTGCATTAACAGTCTCACAACAAATGCTGAATCCAACAAACAACAACTTTAACATTGTTGTTGGACAAAAAGCCTTTGATGATCAACAAAAGTAAGTATCCCAAGAATCTTGTTTCATATGTTTTGTACTAACTCCATCTAATGTATCAGTACTATACCATAATCTTTTTACACTCCGATTATAGCCTCTGCTGGAATCGATCTCACTAGTAAACAAGTTCAGTTGACTTTGGCCAAACGAGAAAAAGTTAAGTTGATAAGCTGTAAAAGTTGTATAATATTCCTGGTGTGCGACAGTTTTGACTCAGTCAGGATATGTTGATCTCTTTATTCATTTAGCTCGCAGGTGGTGTTAAATGATGCATAAGCTCTGCTTAATTGTTTGTAAATTCGACATATAATTTACATATATAAGATCTTTGACACGATTCACATTGGTAATCTACATTTGTTTTGTTCACTAAAAAAGACTACTTAAAAGAAAGTGACTTCTGATGATTGCCTACTTTACATTGCGGATTTGTGAAATTTTCTTATAAGTCTCTGGTCCTTCTCCTTCAGAAATAATGTGTGTCAGAGCGGGCATGAATCAAGAGATGCCAGTGTTTGGCTGAAAGAGAAATGGAGCCCTGGAGAGGTAAAAGATTAGCGTCACATGGTGGCCACATAAAACGGCTAAATACTTTCATCATGTGTAGATGGTTGGTTATAGTCTTATTTTAATCCTTTTCTCTTTCTCTATCAAACAGATTCCTGAAGAGGCGCCTCCCGACACATTCATTTGAAGGCCATATTGAGATGATAGGCGTGACTGTCAAGTGTTTTATTATTATTTTTTCTTTTAAGTACATAATCTGCAGATAGAGTCCAACCAACCTTTTTATTATCTTTTGCTTCATTATTTCAAGCGGCTTAGTAGGTTAATTAAAATGATCAAAGATCAGATTTGTTTGTGTTGTTAGGATGAGGCATCCGTGGGATTCTGCAATGTTTTGAGGGGAGTTCGGCCCCGTTTGGTTCAGCATTTGGAATGCTCATTTGGACTCTAAAGTTCCTTGGCCAAATGTAAATGATGTTTGGCAACTTTTTTTACTCACTTTGGGGAGATGCAATTGCATTTACAATGCTCTCCAAGGGACTTTTGATCAATGCAAGGGCGGAGGTGCTTTGGGACGTTGCATTTTCGGAATGCAACTTGCACTGTTCATTGCCACTGTTCATCTTCCCTAGACCGAGGTCCAGCGGCCGGCGACCACCGCCTGAGGGCTAGCACGGCCCCGGCGACCACTGCCTGGGGGTCACGCGACTCCGGCGACCGCCGCCTGGGGTCGCCGGACCTCGGGCGTCGCTGGGGTCACGCGACCCAGGCCAAGTGTCGCTGAACCGGTGGCGGTCGCCGGGGTCGCACGACCCTAGGCGGCAGTGGCCAACGACCAGATCTGGCCAGCGGCGGTGGCCGGTGGTTTAGCTCCACCGGAGCCTTTTTTTTTTTTTTAAATATTAGCAAAAATTCTTTAGCCCAAGTTGATTTTAAAAAATACTTATCAAATACTATTTGCATTTCGGAAAACCCCTTTAGCCCAAAGGTATTTGCATTCCCCCAAAGTCAAACTAATCGGGCCCTTTGTCTGTAATGTTCAGTATTATTTTTGGTGGAAATCATAGATTTGTGTTTTCTGTTTTAATTTTGTGCATCCGATCATTAGGTTATTGGGAAAAGGAAACAGGACATATGACTGAATGGATGATATCATGTCAAGCGTGATACAACTGGGTTTTGTGAGATATTCTTCCTCCTACGGGAGACCGGTGATTTTTAATCTTGACCAACCCCCCGATTAAAGAAGGAAATGGAGTAATATAAGTGTGTTTTAATAATTAACTTGAATTCCCTTTTGTCAAACAAATTGTTTTGTAAAGTGCCACTAAGCAACGATTGAATCTTCATGTAAGGTCTTACTGGTGGGTGAAATATCTTCGACCGAAAAAATCTTCATGTAAGGTCTTACTGGTGGATGAAGTGTATCAAAATGGAGAGCAGAGAAGAACCGGTTGAGTTCATATGTGCGAGGCGGCAACTAGAAAGCAAAACGGCGACACCACCCACCGCCCATCCAAAAGAAGCAATTCAGAAGGAGCAGATCGAGGTATTGCTATCGTACCAAATGTAGATCACCCATCGGATGGGCACTCGAAAGGTCCTTAACCAGATCTACTGCCATGACTTCGGCAGCACAACCCATCCCACCCAGGTTAAAGCCGTGAATGTCATACCTAGGCTTGAAATGGTTGATGAGCATGGCTGAAACTGAAAGTGAAGGAGTCGGAGTTTTACTTCGAACCCCACGGTTGACGGCAAGGACACCAGTATCCTCAGTTACCACTATGGTCACAGCATAAAAAATCACCATTGAAGCCTCTTCTCACCCACCCCAATGTTATTTTATACTCGAGATGAAAAACTGATATTGGTAAGTGTTTCTCGTTTCCAATGTCTGATATCTTCCGAACCTTCTCCTGCCAGATGAATGCTTCATCACTTAAGTTATCTAATGTTCTAGCAAGCTCGATTAATTGTTCGTTCGGTATATGCATAGTTGAGTACCAAAATGATACCAAATCAACTTAAATGGAGAATTAGATTGATGAATAATAGGCATAGATGTGTACCATGAATTCATATGATTGATGAAAACAAGAGTAAACAACCAGGTAGGGTGAACTAGAAGTACGACCAAGGTAGACATATGAAAGTAGTACTAGCAATCCCACTATGGAAACCATGTCAGAAAGTACTTTCAGGACTCAAATCCTTCCATGCTTACCATTCTAATCTCCGCATAGACGATTGCCACACATATCTGGACAAGACTCCAAATATCTGCACAAGAATATACAGACTGACGTGCTCCATAGGTGACGGGTCATTCTGGATAAGAGCCACAACAGATAGTAGGCCTCTTGGGCATGAATGCAACTCCTCCCCCTTTTTTCCAGGAAAATCTGAAGCACCGCTTGCGATTCCCACACCGCTCTCTTATATGCAGCTGTTCTTGTGATTCCTCGTGAAAATTCTATTTAGCAAATATTAAGTTGCTTTACTATCTTTCATGGTCCTGGTTGTGTCAGTCATGCCTAAAACTAAGAGGACGCAACTGGTGGTGACATGAATATCATGCCATTGAATTTGGATTGGGCACTGGTAAACTGGGACGCTCGAGTAAAATTCAAATAGACTCCTCAATCAAGTGTGTACACAGCATAATTAACAGTCACGGTGACGTATAAGCAAAGAACACGAGTATACACACATTTAACACCTTCGACTACAATTAAAAAACAAGTATTACCCGACACTCACGTTTTTCCACTGACATAGTCAATAGATTTTCCCTTATCATAAGAAACCCATTAGGCGGACGATTAAATAGAACTTTCTCGTCAGAACCCTTCTCTTCTTCTTCAAGACCTTGTATCATGTATGTCGCCATGGCCTTATTTCCTGAGAACTCAGAATCAATCCAAAGTCATTGGTTGGGTTATGCAACACCTGAAGCGAGCCTTACGAACAGTTGTCAGGATTTCAGTCTCTGCATTCTCAAGCATTCTCACAACTTCAGTGAAAGGAGGCCTGACATCTGGGTTGGCATCCCAGCATCTAGTCATAATGTCGCTGAGAATCGGTAGACAATCTGCGGGGATGATTGGACGGACACCTTTGTTGACAACTGCAAAAGCCGCCTGCACAGCTGTCATATTTTGGAAGGGAAGCATTCCTGTGATTAGCTCCCACAGGACGATGCCAAAACTGTATACATCCACTTTCTGTGTGTAGGGCCTGTGCTGGATCATCTCCCTGCACGAATATAATAAGTAAAGAAATGCTAGACAGACAGAATTGGAGAATATGAAGACTAGAACATATACAAAGGATTTTTCACAACCCAGAAAGCTAGTTTGATGGTGCTTTCTGTTAGCTCTCCCGAGATGACAAATTTGACTAAGATACAGAGCAGCTCTTGCAATTGCAACAATTGAATGATAACATCTGGGTCTATGACCAAAAATAGCCAGCTTGTGTTATTTACAGAATTCGGTGCAACAACATGTTGGATGCAACAATAGCCATATCAAGCCCAATAGGGCCTTTTGAGTCCCTTTCCTACAATTCTATAATGTCATTATGTCCTCTCCAGCAAGAGGAGTTTTACTTGGTCACCTAGGTTTGCCTTGAAAGTCGCAGACGACCATGAACAAACAGTAACGAATAAGATAAAAAAATACATTGATTATCCCACGATTAATATGATGGGGGAGCAAATTCCGCTTTGTCATCTTCATCCTTACTTCCAAACTTCAACTGATATCATGCTAACACTATACAAAATGACCGTCGCCACTAAAGAAAAAAAGGGTACCATGCCCACCACTAAAGAAAACATGACATCGCCGAATAAAGATGCGGCCAGGTAAATAGCACATCTCGCAAGCCACATGGTAGAGGCGAAAGGGTCCACAGCATACTTGGTCGCCTACTTACAGACACATATTGAACTGAGATGCAACAAAAATGGATTCAAATTAAGTAACAAGAATTAAAAAAGGCCCAGTGGTCCAAATCACACAGAATTAACATAAGGAATTGAAATACAAATCCAACTCCAATTAAACACCCGCAGTCACACTGCGAAAGTTTCAGACGTTAGCCTCACCACATCCATCGCACAATAGAAGAATAAGCCACGGGGGGGGGAAACCAGGTCAGGTTGCACCATCTTAGGGAAGTCTAGTCTGGTATTTGGTGGCCAACTCAGTATAACCTGATCATTCACAATCTTCTCACAGAAGGGATCAACTTTGCAAGCAAACCCATCCAGCAAGTGATTGTTAATCATGAACATAACATTTTAGCTAACGATCAAGAATTAGAGCTACTCTTAAAACTCCTATATAGGAATTGGCCTAACTAAGGCATTTGTTCCTTTAAATGCCACTTCATATATAAGGGACTAGTTGATTTCTGTTGAAAAAAGTAGTGCGAGGCAAGGAGAAGGAATGAAAGGTTCCACAGAAGACTCATTAGATAAAAGGATAAAACAGTCTTTCAATTTTTGCTAGAGCATAAATCGATTTAGTTAACGCCCCTTCTTTGACTTTCAGCCTTCCAGCGGCAGTGGGTAGGGATACATCAAATTGGCATCTGAAATGCTATTTTAATAGTGTATATTCCTAATAAAAGCTAATTTATAACGTTTGCTGGTAGGCATTTTTCTGTGGGAGTTTCATCTAAAAAAGAGTAACCAACCAAACACAAGGTAAATTCAGAAATTGAAGAATAAGTCTGCTATGCAAATGCCAATGCCTCAAGAACGCAAAAGCATACTGGAGTACCAATTTCGTCAAGACAACCAAACAGAAAGTTTGAATGAGCAACAGATAGGAACAAACAAGTTAAGATTCTCCCACATGACATGCTGAGTTTAAATATGATCAACCCTGAAGAGAAGAGTAGTGAATAATCTTACGGGGCCATCCAACGGTAAGTCCCTGTCTCGGGTGTCATTCCTTCGGTCTGGACCTCAATTCGAGCAACCCCAAAATCAGCAATCTTGATTGATTTATCGGAGAAAATTAGGAGATTGTCAGATTTTAAATCTCTGTGGATCAAACCAAGCCCGTGAACATACTCCATTCCCCTGGCAACATCCAAGGCCTGTCTGACAGCCAACTTCAACGGAACGGACCGATTGTGCCGTTTCATCAAAAACTGCCGAACTGAACCTCCTTTTGCATATTCTGTAACGATGCACCAGACCATTGGCTTGCGGCATCCACCAATGAAACGGACAATGTTAGGATGTTTCAATGTGGCCAACATCATGACTTCTTGCTGAAACTGTTGCTCCATCAGCTGCGCCCTTTCTGGATCATTCTCTGGCCTCTCCAAGATCTTGATGGCAACTTCCTCGCCATTGTAAGTACCTCTATAGAGCTTTCCAAAAGCCCCTTGCGCAAAAGGTGCACCCATATTGAGTTTCCTCAGATCAATAGTCCACTCATCAAATTTTTCAAGTCCCAAAGTTGGAGAACTGTTATCCATAAGAGCCTGGGCCAATGCATCATCACTCAAAGCATGCGTGACTCTTCCTCTGTGATTCACACTCTGCGCAACAGAATCGTTGTCATTGGCACGCCGTCGCAGGCCTTGGTGATTCAGGATGCGAGTATGGGAATCGCTAGAGTCGACACTGCTGTTATCTATGGACATCGCAACAGACCCTCCACCATTGCTCGTTTGCAGGCTTCCAAAACTCTCTATCGACATGTTGGAACCCTCGCTGAGCTTGTGATAAAACGCTTGGGACGAATCGTAGAAATTGTTATCATGGTTCTTCAGACCGATGATTCCAGGAAACTTCTGACCTCCGTCCAACATTTCCGAGTCCCAAAAAAAAGGCACAGGGCTCTTAGCCTCTGTTCAGTTCATAAGCAATTTATAACTGAAGATGTCAGTCCACAGTACCAAGGACACCCTGCAAGAGTAGCAAAAACCCTTTTTATAGCATCATCTTGCCGCGAGGCTCACCCATCAAAAGAACTCATCGAGGGAAGACGGGGGCAATACCCTTTGCTGCAACAAGGGCTAGCGCAGCCACTGGGTGCATAAACAAACGACGAAACTAATCGGTCCTACAAACAGCTAAATCTAGACCTAAAAAACCCACGCGAACATCTTAAGGAAGCACCGAAAGAGGCAGCAAGCCCTAGAAAATTCGACCCTCTAACTTCACTTGGGGCCCGAACATACACGAACATATCCAGAAATGAAAGGAAGCGGACAAAATAGGAGAGCGGGGGAAGCCATAATCGGGCAAATAACGGTAGATAAGAAGGAAACACGAGAGAGGGAGCAGCAACCGACCCCTCGAGCAAGGGGATTGAAAGAGAGCATACCTGGGGTGGGGTGGGCGGAGAGCACCTTTGACTTTGGGAATTGGACCAAGGACACAAGTGGGGAGAACCCAAGACTGCCCCCCTCGCACTCTGGAATCGGATCGAATCTGATCTATTCCAAACCCACCGCGAATCTCGACGGAAAAGGAAAAGAGATGATGATCAAGAGAGGTGGAAGAAAAGAAGAAGAAGAAGAAGAAGAAGAAAGACCAAGAAGGGGGGCGAGAAGAAGAAGAAGAAGCTGCTGCTGCTGCTGCTGCTGCAATGCCAAAATACACACTAGTCTTCGGGTCTTCGCTTTTTGGCTCATCTCCGCTTCTTCGTTATTTTACTCTTTCTTTCTTTCTTTCTTTCTTTAGCTCCGAGTCCCGGGTCCGGGTCCGAGCAGACCTACCGTGTGAGTACTCACACATTCACCTTTCCCTCCCCACACGTCACAAAAGCTGGGCCTCCTTTTCGGCTTATAGGGCCCAAAGCCCAGTTCGCTCCTCCCTCTCTCTCCCGTGGTTCATCTTCGATTTTCATTCTCGGATCACAAAAAACATGATCCAATTAATTACCCTCTGATTAGAAAAAATAATAAAAATAAAAAGCGCTTCGTTTCATTTTCCACATTTTCCCCAAACCGATTTTCCTAATCAGATCTGTTTAGCTTTTGATGGTGAAATGTTTCGGCTTTTGTTTTCCACCCCAAATTCTTTCTCGATTATTTGTTTTTTTATTCGAATGCTACTCACAGTTCTATTACTCGAAATTTTTTTCTAAATTGTTCGTCCTTCGCATTTGTCCGGATCAAAAGTTCTATCATCTGATTTTTATTTTTATTTTATTTTTAAGAAATAAGTGTACAAAGAAGTCGTAAAAAACCGAGAAACTGGCATACTTAGGTAAAAATCAAAATAGAGTTCTCAATCAAGTGTACACAGCATAATCATAGCAGTTAAGCTGACGTATAAGCAAAGAACACAAGTATACACACATTTAATACCTTCTTCAACTACAATTAATTCTACTTAGACCTGGAATTTGAACTCCCGTCACAACCCCTTTCTTCTTCTTCTTCTTCTTCTTCTTCTTCGAGCCCTTGTATCATGTATGTCGCCATGGCCTTATTTCCCGATGACTCAGAATCAATCCAAAGTCATTGGTTGGGTCAAGCAACACCTGAAGCGAGCCTTGCGAACAGTAGTCATGATTTCAGTCTCTGCATTCTCAAGCATTCTCACCACTTCAGTGAAAGGAGGCCTGACATCTGGGTTGGCATCCCAGCATCTAGTCATGATGTCGCCGAGAATGGGTAGACAATCTCCGGGGATGATTGGGCGGACACCTTTGTTGACAACAGCAAATGCCGCCTGCACAGCGGTCATGTTTTGGAAGGGAAGCATTCCTGTGATTAGTTCCCACAGGACGATTCCAAAACTATATACATCCACTTTCTGAGTGTAGGGCCTGTGCTGGATCATCTCCCTGCATGATTATAGGAAGTACAGAAATGCAACTGAGGATAGAAAGAAATAGGAGAATTTCAAGACAGGAGCATACACAAAAAGATTTTCACAACCCAGAAAGCTACTTGGTGATTTTTATTAGCACTCCTGACATGACAAATTTGACTAGATATGCAGAAGCTCTTGTTGTTGCAACATTAAAAGATGATATCTGGGTCTACGACCCAAAAGTTCCAGCTTGTGTAATCTACAAAATTCAGTACGAGACCTGTTGGATGTGAGAATAAGCATATCAAGCCCGATAGGGCCTCTGAGTCCCTTTCCTTCAATTTCAATAATATCAACACATCAATTTCAGCAAGAGGTGCTTTAATTGGTCGCCTGGGTTGGCCTCAAAGATCACAGATGGCCAGGAACAGACAGTAACTAGTAAGATAACAAATACATTGATTATATCCCGATCAATATAAAGGGGAGAGCGTTCCACTTTTTGTTGTCTTCACCCCTATTTCAAAACTTCAATTGATATCACGCTAACACTACACAGAAAATAGGGTGCCATGCCCTACCCACTAAAGAAAAGATCACATCTTATGAGGCCAAATAGACAATGCGGTCAACTACATTGCACGTGTCAAAAGCCACATGGTAGAGGCGAGAGGGTTCACGACATATTTGATCTTCTTGCAGACACACATATTGAACAGAGACGGAAAAACAACAGAATTAAGTTACAAGAATCGAAAAGAGAACCAACGGTCCTAATCATACAGGATTAACATTAGGAATTGAAGATACAAATCTAACTCCAATAAAACAACCCCATTGTCAGACCTTGAAAATTTTAATTAAGATGTTAGCGTCGACAAATACATTGCAAAATAGAAGAATAAGCCACAGGGGGAAAAAAACCAGGTCAGGTTGCAATATCTTAGGGAAGCCTAGGGCTTCGGTGCGGGCGTCAACTCAGCATAACCTGACAAATCACAATCTTCTCACAGAAATAATGCAAGCAAACCCATCCGGCAACTGATTATTAATCTTGTACGTGACATTCTAGCTGAAGATCAAGAATTAAAGCTACTCATAAAACTCCTATCATAGGAATTGGCCTAAGGCATTTGTTTCTTTAAATGTCGCTTCATGCATAAACGACTACTTGATGTCTGTTAAAACAAATAGTGGGAGACAGGGAGCAGGAAAGGTGAAAGGCTCCAAAGGAGACTCATCAGAAAAAGGGACAAAACAGTTTTCAACTTTTTGCTAGAGCATAAAGCAATTTAGTTCATGTCCCTTCTTTGATTTTTCGGCCTTCCAGCAGCAGTGGGTACTTATACTTCAAACTGGCATTGACATGTTCATTAAATTGCTTCTATTGTTATCAAATCAGACTAATTTACAGTGTTTGTGGCAAGGCTTTTCTCTTTGGAATTTCATCTAAAAGAGGGTAAACAACCAAACACAATGTAAAATCCGAAATTGAAGAATAAGCCTATGCAAGTGGTAACCAATTTCTAAATGCAAAAGCATACTCGGGAACAAGTGGTAACCAATTTCTTCGAGACAATTAAACAGAAATTTCTAAATGAGCAAAAAATCAGGCACAAACAAGTTAAGCTTCTCCCACATAGCATGCTGAGTTTAAATATATCAGACATTAGTAATTGAAGCTCCATATTAGAGCAATGAAGAATCTTACGGGGCCATCCAACGGTAAGTCCCTGTCTCCGGTGTCATTCCTTCGGTCTGGACCTCAATTCGAGCAACCCCAAAATCAGCAATTTTGATTGATTTATCGGAGAAAATTAGTAGATTGTCAGATTTTAAGTCTCTGTGGATCAAACCAAGCCCGTGAACATACTCCATTCCCCTAGCAACATCCAAAGCCTGTCTGACAGCCAATTTCAACGGAACAGCCCGATTGCGCCGTTTCATCAAAAACTGCCGAACTGAACCTCCTTTTGCATATTCTGTAACGATGCACCAGACCATTGGCTTATGACATCCACCAATGAATCGGACAATGTTAGGATGTTTCAATGTGGCCAACATCATGACTTCTTGCTGAAACTGCTGCTCCATCAGCTGTGCCCTCTCTAGGTCATTCTCTGGCCTCTCCAAGATCTTGATGGCAACTTCCTCGCCATTGTAAGTACCTCTGTACAGCTTTCCAAAAGCCCCTTGCGCAAAAGGAGCACCCATATTGAGTTTTCTCAAATCGATAGTCCACTCATCAAAATTTCCAAGTCCCAAGGTTGGGGAACTATTATCCATAAGAGCTTGGGCCAATGCATCATCACTCAAGGCCTGTGTGACTCTTCCTCTATTCACACTCCGTTGAACAGAATAGTTGTCATTGGCACGCCGTCGCAGGCCTTGGTGATTCAGGATGCGAGTATGGGAATCGCTAGAATCGACACTGCTGTTATCTACGGACATCGCAACAGACCCTCCGCCATTGCTTGTTTGCAGGCTACCAAAGCTCTCTATCGACATGTTGGAACCCTCGCTGAGTTTATGATAGAACCCTTGGGACAAATCATAATAATTGTTATCATGGTTCTTCAGACCAATGATTCCAGGAAATTTCTGGCCTCCGTCCAACATTTTCCGAGTCCCAGAAAAGCACAGGCGCTAAGCCTCTGCTCAGTTCATAAGCTATATATAACTGCAGATGTCAGTCCACAGCGGCGGTAACTAAGACCCTGCAAGAGTAGCAAAACCCTTCTTTTAAGCATCATCTTGCCGCGAAGCGCATCAAACAAATAACAAACGCTCGAGCGGCTACTGGGGCATAAACACACAATGAAATTCATTATCGTAAAAAATTGGTCCTCCGAGCAGCTAAACCTAGACCAAAAATCCGCGGGAAGATACCAAGGAAGCACCAAAACAAGCAGTAGGCCCCCACAAGAAGTAGAAAAGACAGATACCTAGAAGTGAAACGAAGCGGAAATCGAAAAGACAAGTGGGAACCCATTTCCGGAGAGTGGGAGAGCCACGTTCGGGCAAGCGACGGGAGCAAATGAACAAGCAAATCAGGGGAAGCTGCAATCGACCCATGGAGCAAGCTGATGAGAAGAGAGAGAGAGAGACAGAGAGAGAGAGAGCATACCTCGACGGAGAGCACTTTGACCCGGGGAATTCGAGGGAGGACAAGTCGACAACAAGGTCCTTCCCCCTCGCCCCGTCGGATCGAATCGAATCTAATCCAATCCAAAACCCACAGCAGCGAATCTCGAAGGAGTGGGGGAGGTGATCGAGAGGAGGAGGAGAAGAACGAGAAGGAGAAGGAGAAGGAGAAGATGAAGAGGAAGAAGGTGAAGAAGAAGAGGGGAGCTGGAATGGGAGGAGGAACAGTGGTGGCGGTGGTGGTGGTGGTGGTCTTCTTCGGGGTCTTCGCTTTTTGGCTCTATCTTCTTCTTCTTCTCCTCCTTTTTTTTTTTTTTTGTTTTGTTTTGTTATTATCAGTCCGGTCCGAGAGCAGGCCTAGTGGCACATCGCTGTTAAAAAAAAAAACAAAACTCTTCGATTTGTATAAAAGGAATAATGACACAAATAATTCATGAACTTTGAATGAATGTGTAATTTGATTTTTGAACTTTTAATTTATTCAATGTAATTCATAAATTTTTGGTACATGTTCAATTTAGTCCTGAACTATATGAAAATGTACAATATAATCCCTGAACTTGAATTAATTGAAGGACTACATTGAATATTTTTATAAAGTTCAAGGACTATATTGAACATGTACCAAAATTTCAAAGACTACATTGAACAAATTAAAAATTTAGGGACCACATTGAACATTGGGTTAAATTTTATGGACTACATTGAACAAATTAAAAGTTCAGAGATCAAATTGCATATTGAGTCAAAGTTTAGGAACCGTTTCATTTTCCCTTTATAGAACACGATTCGGTAAAAATATCTAAATAGGGTTGACATTTCAGGTTAAGATCCGTAAAAAATGAGATTATAAAAAAAAAGAATACAACAATAATTAGTAAAATTTATGATCCTTGAATATAGATATTTTTAGGTTTCGAGTACAAGCAAGGCAATGAGTTTTATGCATTACACAAATATAATTTCTCATTGCTTTGTTGACGCATGGATTGCGTGATTCTGAATCTCTACTTGTCATCGTATTTGTTATTTTTACATGTTAAAATTGCAAATTTCACTCTTAATTATTTTAAATTATCAATACACAACGTACGTCGTAAAATACGGTGAAATACATTATTTGATAGGTAAATACATTTTCAATAATAAAAAAAATGTGATTGCAATTTATGGAGATCGACGATTCTTTTAATAACTACAGCATTGATTGCAGCTCCGAACGACGTGGAGGAGGTGATCTTGGGTCATGGCAGCGGTCCCAGCTTTTAGGCGACATCGACTAATAAGTGATCCGAAGTCGCGACTTCGGTTGCCACACGCAATCTCTCAAATGTGGTTGCTCATGACGAGAGTTTTTTGTTTTAGTCATCGCAGTGGCTTTGAGCGACCACCTCGAAAGGCGACCATTAGTGCCCGGCGACTATTGACCTTCACCCAAGTGAAGGTTTGTCCGGCAAAGGCCGCCCAAGTTTAATTTATTTATTTTTTTAACTCGATTGGCTCTCGAATCCTTCTTTTTATTTTTTAAATTCTTAAGCTATTTATCTAATGAAATAAATTTTTTTCATTCAACTTCATGATTGGCAATTCTCCAAATATATACGACGACGGAAGATGAAGATATTCGAGGAATTTTGAATCCCAGCTTATCCCATCCTGTCCTAATCCGAGTCTTGCTATTCGGGGGCCCTAAAAGCCAATAAGCCATAACGGTATGATGACAAGATTGGTGATCGTGCACAATTCAATGTGCAAATATGCTGCTTGCCTTCCTTTGGGTTTTTTCTTTGTGAAGAAGGCTCCCTTCTCCATGTTTCAATTCCTGTGGGCGGGGACTTCCACAACTAATGTCTTTGGCATGAATTTTGATGATGATGTTGATGTTGTTGTTGTTGTTGTTGATGTTGTTGTTGTTGTCACTTTGCTTGGACGGATTTGTAATTATTCCTTGAGAATAAGCGCACCTCTTACCAGAAAATCAGAAGCCACCACCCCTCCTCGCATGGACTGAATCTCTCGGTCCCCGCACACTTTTATTATAAGTGTTAAACTAAATGAGCGACGTCTATTTAATGTAGAAGAGAATCGTGAAAAGTACAACCATTATTTTCTTATATTCCATATACAATGGCACATTGACTTTTTTGATTTGATATGAAATAAGAAGCAGCACTCGTTAGGAAAACAAACGGTGATAACAAAGATCGTAGACAAAAGAGAAATGAAGATTGAGAAATGAACATGAAATGGTGCCTCTAATGTAACTTGATTTGATTTAGTTGTGAACGGGTTCTTAAATTATATGAACGAAATATCACGCGAGGAATTCTTTTAACATAAAATTTTATAGTCCTTTTGTAATTTTGGTATTGTAAACAAAAATAAATGAATAGGTAGATAGATAAATCAAATACTTATTTGAACGTGAAAGAATTTCTCGTAACTATTTGAACAAAACTAGATTAAGAGGCACATAATGGGAATGAATATAGTCATGATTTATGGAAAAAAAAAAAAAACACAGCTCTAGATTGGGCATACCATCCTGATGTGTGTAAGATCTATGATAGCCCCCCCTAGACCTCTACTTCTGCCTTTTTTAAGTTTACGAGAAGTTGCATCAGATTCTGGACGTCACTCTTTACTCCCATTTTCCAAGGTTCTTTTTTTTATGATTTGGTTTTCCACGTTGCATTTCTATTCTTTCGGCCATTAAATTTGAAGGAGAAGAGATGAGACTTATCAGGTGTGCTGTGACAAGTTTTGAATTAAATCAAGAAATAGTGTATCAAGTTTCCATTAATTTAGAAATGGGCACATATCTCCACTTGCAAGAAAAAAAATATGAAGAATTCGTTTCGTTCTTTTCCTTCAATGTAAACACAATTCAGGGCTTTGATGGTGCCGTCTTGGATTGAGCAACACCAACTTCGAATCTCTTTCTTGTGTATGCGATTCGAGAATCCTAAAAATGGACTCATATTAAATTGCACAATCTTTGGTTCTTAACACTAACATTAATGCATGCTCTTAATGACTTAATCTCACATAGTTCCAATGGGTCAGTTGCTTGATCTCTAATTATATAGCAACAACTGTTATTCAGGAGGTTGTTGAAGTCCTAATGACTTAATTTAAGAACTCAAATCTTGAATTTGAAAGAATTGAACTTGACGTGAGGGTCATCCACACTTGTTGGGCTAGGTTTGGGTCATGGGCTAGCTCATCATCAGTTAAAAAAAATAAAACCAAGGAAAAGAGGAGAAGCTGAACGGGCAAGGGGGGACCACAGAAAAGAAAAAAAAAAAGAAAAAAGAGGGATAGAGACCGACGGTTTTGAGAGGAGAAGAGGAAGCCAACTTCTAGGAAAATTCGACGGTGAAAACTTGTTGGAATAAGCTTTATTGTTCACGAGACAAAGAGCTACAAACGGAAACGGAAGGTTCCAAAGGTCGAAATGCTTCTCAAAATTGTCTCTCAATTTTTTCTGGCAATGGTTAGATTTTTCTTGCTCCTCTGTGTTAATCAACATTTGTGGTGATGATGATATATTGCTATATTGCTGATATGTGGAGCCTCTAGGTGTGTGAATATAGATGAACTATTGCGTATTCTAATAATTCTTGGTGAACAGTAGAAGTTTTTAACAGTCCATGGTTTTTCCTCGCATTGAGTTTTTCACGTAAAATTAATAGATGTTGTTGCTACTTGTTTCTAATTTTCCAGCACTATATTTACTGTCTTTGGGTGAATAGTAGCCGGTAGCTGTTGACGTTGAATTGTTAGCTTTCTCCTCAACAAAGTGGTATTAAAGCCAAGTTGAAGGTTCTAACTATAAATGGAAAAAATAAGCAGCACTATTTTTAAGTTAAATGCCTCTAATTATTCAATCGGGGAAGCCTTGGATGGCAAAAATATTGTATTGTAAAGATCTATATGATCCTTGCGATAGGGATGCAATTAAAGGAGTCAAGAAAGATCAACAAAAAAAATAGGAGCGAATCAATTGAAAAACAGTTGGCTTTGTTTAACAATGGATTGAAAATAATGTTTTTCATCATGTTGCGGAAGAATCAAATGCTGCAAAATTGTGGAAAGAAATTACAAGATCTTTAAGAGATGAAGACCCCACAAAATAAAGCATGTTTAGTTGAGAGACTTGTAAATTTGAGATACAATGAAGGGAGCAACATGGTCATGGCTTTAAGCATTTTTACAAGAACCGACAATTGGGATACATTGGTCATGGCAGTAAGCAACTTTACTCCTAACGGTGTGCTTTCTATGAGCACGAAGCTTGTTCAACAAAGAAACTAAGAAAAATGCATGGATCATACTTCTCAATTGGAGGCTCTTGTTATGGAAAACTGGAGGGGGGTTAGAAATCAGTAAAGAAATTTCCAGAATTGCGATAAAAGATATAAGTCAAGAGGAAGTTTGAAATCAAGGCTGAGGAGAAATGTGAAATGCTACAATTGCGGCAAGATGGAACATTATACCAAAGAATGGAGGTTAGCAAAGAGAGATGAACCCCAAGGTAGAAATGGAGATAGGAAGGGAGAAGAGAAACAAAATACAACGGCAGTTGCATCCGATGGTAATGTTGTGTTCATCCATGACAATGCTTGTGTGAATCTTACATACCAAAACTCTTGTTGGGTTGTTAATACCGTAGCCTCATTTCATGTCACCTCTCAGTGCAACTACTTCACATCCTATCGCAACCGTGATTTTGGTTGGTTTAGAATGAGAAACGGTGGTAGTTCTAAGATTATCGGCATATGAGATGTTCAAACCGACGTTGGATATGATTTGCTTATGAAAAATGCAAGACATGCTCTTGACATTTGTCTTCATTTGATCTCCACATATGCCTTAGATGATGGTGGTTACTATAAATCTTTTTGTGATAACAAATGAAAATTGACTAAGGGTTCAATGGTAGTGGTGAAGGGTAAAAAAAATTGCACTCTCTAGATTATGCAAGCTGAGTTGATTAAGGAGGAGGTAAATACAGTTGGGGACTCCTCAATTAACCTAAGTAACATATCTTCTTAGGTTATGGACATGAAGAGTTTGGCTACAATTTATGGAATCCGGCTGCAGAGAAAGTCATTAGAAGTCGAGATGTGGTTTTCTTTTAGGATCAAATCATTGAAGACATTGACAAGATAGTATGGAGGTTAAAGAATGTAACTCAGCACTCTATTAGTTTCAGCCAAACCCTCATATCATATTGGGTGGAAATCATGGGGGAAAGTGCAAGAAAATCATTGCAACCATGAAG